TTTGCTCTAACTGCTGTAGTTTTTGAGATATAAGCCAAAAACTGCTTTTGTCCCATATGTTCTATATTTAGCCATGGCGGTCATGTTTCTTAATGGATCAAAACTTCGGATACAATATAAAACTAGATATCCTAAGGAACATTCAAATTAAAGTTTGGAAGTATTTGGCCCAGTTGTTTTAGAGAAGAAGGTTTTTTTGAAAAAGTAATAGACTTGCACGAAAAAATGTAAAAAATAAACGTTTCAATGTAAATAACTCCGTAAAGAGTCAATTGACTATTTTGATCATTGAATTTATATGTAGATCCTACTAAGCTGAACATTTTTGCCATTTACACTTTTTCTCTATCTATTATAATATTAAAGATAATAACCAAAAACAGTAAAATTTCATAAAAATAAACTATGTCGGACAGTAACCCTACAATGGGTGGTCCAATTGGTCTGAAAATTTCGAAGCAGATATATCTTGACTTATTCATCACTATAAGTCATGTCACTTTGCCCTAACTGCTATAATTTTTGAGATAAAAGCCAAAAACTGCATTTGACCCCTATGTTCTATTTTTAGCTATGGCGGCCATGTTTGTTAATGGATCAAAATTTCGGAATCATTGTATAAACCAGTTACCCTAAGGAAAATTCAGTTAAAGTTTTGGAAGTATTAGGCCCAGTAGTTTCAGAGGAGAAGATTTTTAAATGTTAGCAAACATGATGAACAAATTGTGTAAAATTGTCTTTAAAGAGCAATAACTTCTTAAGGGGTCAATTGACAATTTTGGTGATCTTACTTTGCTGAAAATTTTTGCTGTTTACAGTTTATCTTTATCTTCAATAATATTCAAGATAATAACCAAAAACTGCAAAAAGCATTTCCTTCAAATTACCAATTTAGTGGCACCAACCCAACAACGGGTTTTTCGGTTCGTCTGAAAATTTCAAGGTTATAGATCTTGACCTATTGAACATTTTTACCCCTTTGTCAAATTTGCTCTAAATGGTTTAGATTTGAGATATCAACCAAAAACTGCAATTTGACCCTCATGTTCTATTTTTAACGATGGCGGCCATGTTTGTTGATGGATCGAAACTTCGGATCCTTTTTATATACTAGATACCCTAAGGAACATTCAGTTAAAGTTTGAAGGTATTTGGCCTAGTAGTTTCAGAGGAAAAGTTTCTTGAAATAGTTTACGACGACGACAGACGACGACAGAAGACGACGGGCGCCAAATGATGGCATAAGCTCACATGGGGACCTTCGGGCCCGGTGAGCTAAAAAAGGAAAACTTGATATGATCGTTTCAAAAAAGAAACTAACCGTTTGTTTACTCAGATACACATTTACAAAATTTTGAAATATTTTTGATTAATTTAAAAAAGACTTACTGTCTGAAGTATTCTATCTTTTTTTGGTGTGGTACACCTCGATTTGATCAGTGAATATAATATCCTAGTCAAGTGTAAAACTACATTATTCTATATTTTCGCCATTTTTAATTTTTAAAGGCCAAAATACTTCACCTGTGGAAATTAAAATCACATGATCGAGAAAGAGAATATTAGTGATGTCACCAACTCAATAATTACTCGTATCAATTAAAAATTGTAAACTTACATAGTATCTATTTGTTAAAGTGTGTTATAAAGTATACAAAAGAAGAAAGAAGATTTTTTTTAACCGTAAAATAAAGCGAACATGGAATGTAAAAGATCATTAGAAATTTATCTTGTCTTTTTAAATCGAAATTTACATACATCTATCCATCTATATAATTGAGAAGATATCATTATACATTCAGCTGAAGGAATGATATAGAATGTTCAAGTGAAAAAAAATGCAATCTTACAAAATGTTACATGGAAATCGAATTATTATTCAAAAACAACTAGCTCTGATTGGTTGCTCAATGGTGTGGTTTGGAAAATATTCCAATTTCTTTTAAAAATGAAAATTTTTCAAATTTCTCATTACGCTAATGATTTTTAGAATTATCGGGTTTTTAATTTTGGTATTTTGTATTGCTTGAAGACATGATGGAAAATCATAACATATGATAAACTGTGATTTCTCAGAAGTAGCAATACACTGCAAGAATTATTGCCTTAGCTTCTACAGTAAAGATGGATGAAGAAAGACCTGAGGACACAAACAATCAAATAAATTGATCAAGATTGAATATTCATGATCAGTGAAATCGTATAAATGACTTTTTTTAGTGGTAACATTTCAAAAATATTCAAATTATTTTTTAATCCAGAACCAAATAAGACAAAGATGATGAAATTAATGTGTTATGTTGTCCATTATATGATATGGACTTGAAAGTACAAAGTGCTTATTGTGCAATATCACCACATATTCATCATTGTAGTGAAATGTTATTTGATATAACTTCCGTTTAACACAACGAATTCCGCATATTAACATAGAAATGATATTTTATGATTTGTGTTGACAAACCCCAATGATTGTATTATGTACCTTACATTGCCACAGATTTAGAATAACTGGTTGTACTTTAAATCAAAATTTAAACAGGATACCTGATCTTTTTCCATAGAACATTGACAGACCACGCAAATAATATTTGAACTAAAGTTGGACGTCTTGAATTTAACATTGACCTAAATTAGAATTGAAAAATGTATTTTAACCACTCGAATTAAGGTATTGAATTTAAACTTTACAAAACATGATTTAAAAATCGTCCAGATCTTAAAGTTTCTGTTTTTATTATTTTATTTAAGGAAAACTTTTGAAAGAAAGCATAAGGAACACTAATGTTCATTATTTATAATCCCACAATAGAGTAATGTCCACACATGTTGAAAACAGATCATGTTCTTGTTTGTGTAAAATAAATGAATTTCTTCTGAAAATGTGTTTAGAAATACCCCAGCAGGCATTCTATGTTGTACAGACGTGGATAGTTGGTTGAAAATCGGTCGCAACGTCGGCGACCTAAATTCAAGGTCATGCGGTTTAGAGACAATTTGAAAGTCTGGTACCCGGTATTTCTATTCCTTTATCACGATGCATAGTTTTACGGAAGGAACACACATTTAATTTCGTTTGAAAACTAGGCGCAAACTCGTGGAAGAAGAAGTAAAGAAGATCATCACCAAGTTAATTTAAACCAGCTAAAAATAATAAAAGGTTTGTACTCTTATCGTATAGTTTCTTGTTAAATTGCAGTTGATTGTTTCCTTTAATTCACTCGAAAAAATGGTTGAAATACCCACGGGAGTCAGAAGTTAACGGATTTATTAAAATAAATAACTTCAGATTATCCACATAGAAGTAGAAGATGGAGATAAAAGCTCTTTTTTAGGGATTGGAATCCATAAAGTGATACACCAAATAAAATTCCTTTACTTTAACCTAGAACAACCAATGTACCATAAATGTACATAAAGACAACTAGAACTCATTTGCAACAATCAAATGTATTTAAAAAATGACCTAGAAGGACTGTCAATAGACGCTTTATATGTTTCAAATGTTGGCAAGGTATGGCGAACATAATCGGTTTAAATCTTCCCATTTAAATTTACTATAGTATTAATAAACTCCTTATAACAAAAGAAGCGTAGAACTGTGATTTCTTCATTGAATCGATTTGAAAAATTGGATTGACCTTTATGTATTTGTTGAAGTAGGTATATGTTGTAATGCATTAAAAAAACATATCGTGTTATGTCTTTGGCATTCTTAACAAAAGCATAACGATCTTAAGAACTGAAATATGATAACGTTTTATAATTTAACACGAATGATAATCTGATCATATGAAAAGAAGTTTTAAGACAAAGTTATGGATTTATAAATGACAAAGATCTTTGATACATCCATAATTTATATATTACCTGTAATTTTCAACGTTTACAACTTGTATTACAAATAAAGATATTTACTCTGGAAGCATGTTTAAAATTGCAGAATTTATTTCAACTACTGTTCGTTTACGGTTTTATATGTAACCTTGTACAATTTTTATTTTATAGATTTTACCCAATTTATACAAAAACTGCTCTAACAGAGGTATGGAGAAGAGCGACTAAAATTTTACGGTCACAATCACGAATTGAATGTCTCAATACTCAAGCGACATGTTGCGCGTTCTGAGATCTTTAGATATCAGAATAATCGTCTGAATTGTAATTTTAACGGTTGTGTCTTTTATTTGATTTTAGATTCGCATGGCGGATGCTGTTTCATTTGCATTTACTTGAGGTATCATGTTTTTTCGCGTTGATTTTATCTAATGAAACGAGTAAATAGATTATGAAAAATGCACTCTTTTAATTCAGCCTTGACTTCTTTTTACTGACATTTCTCATTATTGTTGACTTTTCTACAAAAAGAAAATCCGTATTCGATATTTTTTAACAAAAGAGAGGCCTTTGAAAAAAATTTTTATTTAATTATAGTATTTAACCTCCTATTAAGAGGGCAGGTGTACATTCTCGCTTATAAACGATTTAAAGTAAAGGATATTTAAGTGTAAACCACGCCGTAATAACGTCGGCAGGAAATTAATTGGTTTTTGTTTGTCATATAATCAATATCAATTTCATTATGCACTATGCGATTTGTTGGTTATTAAAAAACTTAACTCTCAAATTCATAAATGTAATTAAGAAAATGAACATAATCACTACTGTCTTTTTATGTTTTTCATCCCTAAGCATCATTTTTTTTCCCTTTATCATTCATAAAGAATCATCAACTCACGTCTTAAACGCGACATCAGTTTTGTTATATGATCGTGAAGTTTTTAAACAATATTTATAATTATGCTTACACCTAGTTTTTTCATTATTTTAGACCTCCCTGCGGACATTTACAATCAAATCAGTTGATCAAGATTGAATATTCAAGTATAGCGAAATTATGTAATTGATTTGTGTTTGTTGTTTTATTTTTAAAATTTGTTTTTTTGTTGTTGATTAATCATACGTATAATGACAATGTTTATAAAAATAAATATGCTTACCAGAGACTTCTTCATCCAGAGTCAAATTAGACAAAGATGCTGAAATCAATGTTTAATATTGTCCATTATAAATTATTGACTTGAAAGTACAAAGTGTCTATTGTGCAATATCATCATATATTTATTGTTGACGTGAAATATTATTTGACATAACTTCCCTTTTAACACAATGGATTCCGCACTGTTGTCTTTATTGAACTTGAAAATGATAGTTTCTGTTTCATGTGGAAAATCCTCGATATTTCTAATGTATTTTTTGTACCTTACGTTGCAACAAATAAAGAATGGAGAATAATTGGTTGAAATTTAAATCAAACTTTAAATATGATACCTTATATCTTTCAATAGAAAACTGACAGACCATGCAAATGATATTTGAACTAAAGTTTGAAGTCTGATATTTAACATTGACCTAAATTAGAATTGTATAAATGTTTTTTAACAACTCGAATTTATGTACTGAGTTTAAACTTTAAAAAGATGGATTTAAACATATTTCAGATCTCAAAGTTTATGTGTTTTTATTTTTAATTCAAGGAATCTTTTGAAAGAAAGCATACGGAACAATAACGTTCATTATTTATAATCCAAACAAAAGAGTAATGACCTGGCATGCTGAAAACAGATCATGTTCTAGTTTTTGTAAAATAAATGATTGTTTTTTAAATGTGACTAAAACTACCCCAGCAGGCACCCGAGGCTAACAGACTTGGATATTTGGTTGACAATAGGTCGCAACGTCGGCTGGCAAACGTCTGTACCGAAGTTATATAATGGCATCTATACTGTGGATTCGTTTATTATAATGACATCTATACTGTGGATTCATTTATTATAATGACATCTATACTGTGGATTCATTTATTTTATTGGGTACCAATTTTCGTGTATGATAAAAAAAATGCATTTTCGTGGATCTTTGATTCCGTGGTTTTGCCAAGTCTGCATACAACCCTGAAGAAAATTTGCAGTTCGTTGAATATTTAAATTCTTGGTTCACCATTAACTTTACTTTCTGCTATAATGATGATGTGCTCTCACTAAATAATTCAAATTTTAATAACTATGATGAACGCATCTATCACATCGAACTTGATATAAGGGAGACAACAGATACAGTTCAGTCTGCCTCATACATTTTTGTATCTTGACTTGCATCTTAAAATTGACAATGAGGGTCGGTTGAGAACAAAACTTTACGACAAGAGAGATGATTCCATCTTTACAATTTAAATTCGTGGTTCACCTGTAACTTTACTTTCTGCTATGTAGATGATTTGCTTTCACTAAATAATTAAAAATTTGTGACAATGTTGAACACATCTACACCATCGAACTTGATATAAGGGATACAACAGATACAGTTAAGGCTGCCTCATACATTTTTGTATCTTGACTTGCATCTTAAAATTGACAATGAGGGTCGGTTGAAAACAAAACTTTACGACAAAAGAGATGATACCAGCTTCCCAATTGTAAACTTTCCATTTCTATGTAGCAACATTCAAGCAGCGACTGCATACGGAGTATATATCTCCCAATTGATACGATATTCCTGGGCTTGTATTTCTTATCATGATTTTCTTGATACAAGTTTGCTGCTCACACATGTGGAGCAGGATCTGCTTACCCTTCCGGAGCACCTGAGATCACCCCAATTTTTTGGTGGTGATCGGGTTGCTTATTCTTTAGTTTTTTTATGTTGTGTTTTGTGTACTTATGTTTGTTGGTCTTTTTCCTATTTAGCCATGGCGTTATCAGTTTATTTTCGACTTAAGAGTTTGAATGTCCCTCATGTATATTTCGTCTCTCTTGGTCTGTACCAACGAAATCCACGAAAATTGGTACCCAACGAATAATAATTAATCCACAGTATTACCTTTCTTTTTGTCGAGAACTTATAGAACGTCAACACAAAGGCGGATGCCATATGCCGGTCGAAAGTCTCATTGTATCTAAAATATTGAAATCACACGTGTACACGAACATAAATTCTTAAATTTTATATTATCCTTTCACATTACTGTTTGTATCCTATTGTTATATAAATAATTTAATGAACCTTAAGTTAAAAGTTTAACATAGCCCGCTTCTAAAATAAATAACATCGGATATGCCAGACTACAACAACATACACATTTACAAGGTTCCTTTGCGCCACTTTATAAGAAACAATCATCAATACACTGTTTGAATGATTTAATGAATCATTTTTAATTTTCTTATTATAATCGGTGTAATCGTTCGTGCAAATAAATAAAAAAGTAAAGTCGAGTGTGATGTTTATGCACAGATATTCAATAAATATTCATTTATACGTCCTTTTTAGAGACTTTTTGAGAGTCTTTTCCACGGATTTTATATTCCATAATCATGATGCATAGTCTAAGGAAGGAACCAACATTAAAATTGGTTTGAAAACTAGGCGCGAACTAGTGGAAAAAGTGAATAAAATCATCATGAAGTTAATTTAAACCAGCTGGAAGAGAATAAAAGGTGTGTAAATAGTACCATGTTAAATTATATATTATCCTTTCACTCTAATAAATAAAACACGCAATACCATCAATTTATCCTTTAAAAGATTTAATTGATAGTTTTGACTGTTCGTATTATAATCGGTTTATTCGTTTTTGTGCAAATAAATAGATAGGTACAGTTAAGTGTGATGTGTATGCACGGATAATTGATAAATAATTATTTGTGTGTGCGGTGTAGAGACTATTTGATAGTCGAGTTCAAGGTATTTATATTCCATATATTCCGTAATCATGATGCATTGTACTACGGACGGAACATTTGAAAACTAGGCGCGGAATCGTGGAAAAGTAACGACGATCATCATCAAGATTAAAATAACCAGAAAGAATATCATCATAAAGATAAACTAAACCAGCTAGAAGACAATCATCAATATTAGTGCAACCAGCTAGAGATGAATAAAAGGATTGTACATAAATCGTAAAGTTTCATGTTTTTAATTTCAGTTTGTCTTTTCCTTAACATCATTTGAAAAAATGGTTGAAATACTCAGAGAATCAGAATTTGAAAACTGTATTACTGCATATAATCCACATAATAGCGATATCAGAGATATGGTTTTGGCTAATAATCCTCTTAAAATTTCGGTCAGACCCCTTCAAAAGTCAACTGAAACGGTCTATACAATCAGCTTACACGGTCCGAGGTGTTTTTCGTCAATTATAGTTAAAACAACGTTTCCTTTATTCTTCACATTATAGAAGGCCTGACTTCTCTTCAGACTGTTTATATCGTCGAAAATATTCAATAAGTTATATTCGATCTATGACTGTCCCTCTGGTATCTTTCGTCCCTCTTTTATATGTATAAGTAAAAATTGTCCTTTTATACTTTGTCTGAGTTTGCATTATACATGTTATAGACGGTCCGAGTTGAATTGATAGACGGTCCGAGTTGAATTGATAAACAATTCCAGTTGAATTGATAGACAGTCCGAGTTAAATTGATTGACGGCCCGAGCTGAATTGATAGCCAGTCCGAGTTGACTTATTCGACGGCGTCTGAGTTGTCGTCATAGACAGCCCGAGTTCAAAATGTAATGTATTCCTATTTTACAATAGACCTTTTCACTATTTGAGAAACTTTGACACTTGCCCCAAGCATTTGAGTCACACAAACTGTTGGCTTCATCGTGTTCATACAACAATCACTTTTATTTTTCGGCGTCAGACATTTTCTCTACCATGTCTTGTGCAAGTGGTCAAAGTTTTACAGGAACATGTGTGATATCCAGCTAGGGTATATATGCTGTTGTTATCTTTATTTGAACCTCAATTACATCCACTAAATAGGAATACGTGCTTTTGTTATTCTGTCATGTATTACATAGCAGAAAATCATGTCATAAGAAAAGATGTTAAAAATGGTGAGTATACATAAATTGTACGTGTTTTTTTTCTTTAAAAAAATCACGCTTTTTATTCTAGACGTATTATTAAAAAGTATTGCCTAGACAAGAAGTTTATTTTCACTGCGAATATTATAAAATGCCTCACATACATGCACTAATATTATGCGGGAAATATATAGTTTGATTAATTTTCCTGCACCTGAAGTAATTAAGGTTAACATACATGAGACCTTCCGGGTTTCGCCCATACATTCCATTCGCCTGATCAGACATGTCTATGTTCTACGAATAGGTACATCTGTATGTTTAAATATGTTCAGGTTTTCATAGTATATATACTTTTTGTAATTACAATGCTTGATGTTTGCGAGACAGCATAAGGTTTAACACTGAAAGCAGATATATTGTATCACATGCGAGAAGTGAAAGTTTTTTTTGGCACAGTTAGAAAAATAATATCTTAGACAAAAAACTTTTATTGTTGCATGCGCATGTTTTAACATTTTCAAGGTTTGTAAAGCATGTCATACTTGAAGCGTTGGCGAGAGGTTCGAGCTGATGCTAGAGCATTTGCTCTTGGTACCAGTAGTGCAGTTGAAGATAATATATCAGTAATTTAGAGTCAAGAAGAAAATGCATCTGGAAATAAAAGAGAAGAAATACATGTAATAGGGTGGATGCAAATGAGCATGTACTGATGGAAATACAACTTTAACTGATTCAAGCGGCAAATTAGACTGGATTTGTGGAGGAAGTCGAAATGTCAGATTCAGAGCACGACATTGTATATGTTTCCTATGATACTACGAGCCATGTTTGTCATTGAAGGATAAAATAGTTGATTGGTCAGAAAAAAATAAGTTAACATGATCTTGTTTAAATAAACTGCTGATAGTCTTAAAAGGTGACGGTCTTCAAGTCCCGCAAAAAAACTTGCAAACTATTGCAGACCCCGTAAAACTGTTAATGCTGAAGAAAAATGTGGAGGACAGTATATCTATAATGGAAAATAACATGGACTGGTTAAGAACCCGGATGGCTTGCACAAGTAGCAAGATTTCAGTCTGAAACGGTCATTTTGGTCTGATCAAGTCTTAATCGACTGAATTTACCGCTAGGGAAAAACGTTGACCTTTTCAGACTTTCAAACACTGTTCCGATATATCGTGTTCAGTCCGTTTAGTCGTGTCAAGATAAACAAGACAGATTGTTCTAGCATTCGATTAAGACTTGATCAGACCACGTTTAGATCAAACCAGACCAAAGGTAAAAATTCTGTTTAGTTTTTGTAAGATCGTGTTAAGATTTTAAATATTTTACATAAAACGGGCGAAACTTTCTCTGTGTTTATCAGGGGTTGCTCCCCCTTTATGAATAAAAT